GTTCTTTTCATCATAGATTAGGTTATTATTCAAATTAGGAGGTTGAGCTGGGATGTTATTGCCTTCTCAGATATCAAATCTTAGAATGAATGCTATAGCATTATAATTCAGTTGGCTAATTGTTAATACTGAAATTTACTCAGGTGAGTAATTTATTACTTCAAGTAATCGAAAGGTCATATTGGAAATGGTTTATATATCTTTCAGATAATATTTGTTTAATTTTCACTGTTTGTTAAATTCCATCGTCTAGCACGCTACTTAAATATCTGATTTGATGGTAGATACTTTAATATAACTAGGTGAAGGGAAGGGAAGTTAAGGGAAACTAGGTGAGAGAATGGAAGGGAAAGGAAGGGAGTTCCCTTCCCCTTGGTTACACCCTAATTTGGGGGGTAACAAATTTTATACTATTAGGGGGTTACACCCTAATTTGGGGGGTAACAAATTTTATACTATTAGGGGGTGAACCAAGGGGAACTAGGGTGAATAACTTCACCTCCTAAATGTTCCCAAACAAGGTGAATGGAGGTGAATGGTTCCCCTAACTTCCCTTCACCCTTATTCCCCTCAATCCAAACAAGCCCTAAATATATAGAAATGTTTGTTCGTATCCTGCTCCTGTATTTTTGGTGTATTTCCTTTCATATTCTTCTATACAATATAGTAGCTCTAGAAGTTCTATCATCAACAAGCACCACTTAATGGTAATTGCTTTAATATAACTTCTTCTGGTCAATTTTATTCTTCAGCATGTCGGATCTCAATTTAAGGGTTTCCTGAGTATCGCAAGAGCATCACTTTCTGGAAGGGGTGCTTGGGATAATCCTCTGATGTCATGCATACAGGGATCTGTATCTTACAATCGAGACATTTCTGTAGCAGCTCAAACTGGTGTCACTTTCTGTTTGCCGCGACATAGGTATGTACGTGTACCTATGAAACTGACGTCCAAGTTTTGATGCCTACTTGGGCAATCACTTTGAGTCATAGCGGCTTGTAATTGGTGATTGTCTCATCCATGTCACAAGAAAATATTTCACAGAAATCCGTCATTTGGCATATCCTATATTTGCATTGCCCCTTTTCCTTTACGCAATAAAACTTCTATTAAAATTTGAATAGGGTGAATTTCTTTGGTTGTCTATACTGCGTGCTTGCTGTTAATCTGTCTGATATACATTTGTAGTTGTTAGATTCAAGATGCTGCTGCTAAACTTAGGATTGTGTTTTATATCGTCTTTTGTCTTATAGCATGCAGCATATGTTATCATGCTTAAGAGTTGGCAGGTGAATGCAATTTACAATGGAGAATTTCATCCCTCTTCCACCTTGATTTTGAAACCCTTTTATTATATTGCTTTTGAAATCTTGGAGGTGTGATCTTTGAGTGATTCAGGTCAAACTGCACTGTCCTAATAAGTAGATTGCCTGCTTGCCAATAGGTCTGCTGGGTCTGAGGGCAAGCTCTTATTGTATTCGTTATTTCCCTGATCTGGAACATTTCTGCAACTTCGTGGTTGTATTAAGAAGAAATACAGATGTAAAATGGCAAAATTTCCTGTGGACCCTTTCCAAAATGGAGATGTTGCTTCATAGTTGACCTCAATTTGATTTAAAATGACTTAAGATACATTGTTCTTGTTGTCAATGTAACTTTTGGCAATATAAGTTTTGGCAGGACTATATATGACATAAATATTGAAGCATTCGAGCAGAAACCGTGGAGGCATCATGGAGTCGACATGACAAATTATTTTAACTTTGACCTGAATGAGGAAAGCTGGAAGAGCTATTGTGAATCCCTGGTACTTGTTACTCATTACCTATCTTGCATTTATTCCTGTAGTCAGTGCATTATCAAGAAACATAATATTCTTTTGAGTTATATCAGAATCGCCTTAGGAAGGAAGCTATGATATTGAATGGATCTCCAGTTCACCATATATCAAGGTTGAATCAGGTGAAGCATTTTGGCCTTAAGATTTGCTAATTAATCTATCAGCCTTCGGCTTATTAGATCGTTCATTCTAAATGTTATTATCTAAAAGTTGGATGGATTAATGTGCTTGATGTGGACAGGGAGAGAGAGATTCTTTTGCCTCAGAACCTTTGAAGAAGGAAGGAAGGGGACTTCACATGGTATGTTTAGTACAAGTGTACTATTCGATTCTTTTGTGCTGTTGTTTACTATTTGGATTCTCCGCTTTTCATCTTTGTCGCACCGTTAAAAGCCTTTCTACATTCAAACTATGTCAATATCTATCCTGCACAGCCAAAGGGTAGAGCAATTCAGGTTGAAAGCAGTCTTGGTGAGCGCATGCCATCAACCGATAAATGGTGCCCAAGGGCCCGGGATTCTGATGTTGTGATACAAGTATGTCAACTTGATGCAGCTATTTAACTTTAATTCAGTTTTTATGTTAACATGGAATGATGCAACATTTATGCACCTTTTATCTTATTCTTAAGTTGCTGATAACTTCGTTTTATATAGATCAAAATGGAGGGTTCTGCACAGGATGCAACAGTTTTCTGCAAAAACAGTTTCGACTGTGCAGAAAATATTGGTGCTTCAACTTCTGGAAACAACTCAAACAAGAGGTTTGTTCTACATCTTTGTATTATTTATACTTATTTCTTTCAGCTAAGCGACATTGGTGCCATGGAATGATTATCGCAGTCCAGGTTTACGAATACGGTCTATGGTCTATGACCGTATTCATATCATTTCTAGTGCCTTATCCCTGTAGTGTGAGAATGGTTGAATGCAGTGCAAAGTCTTGGGCATTGGTGAATTAGAAAAAATCCGACCCCGTTAGCAAATTAGGAGAAGTATGCATAATATTGTTGAAGATTAACCAGTCGATTATATTCATGTTATTTCTAGTGCCTTATTCCCTGCAATGATTGAATGTAGTGTGAATCTTGTTATTGCCAAACTTCAAATTACCTGGTGTGTGTGTGTGTGTGTGTGTGTGTGTGTGTGTGTGTGTGTGTGTGTGTGTGTGTATATATATATATATATATATATATATATATATTCCTCATTTAGTTATGGTGCCAGTTTCTTCTTGGTGCCAATGAAACATAAATTTTCAGGTTATTTTTTTTGTTGCAATTCTTTTGGTTGTAAATTGTGCCATTTTTTGCATCTCATTTATTTGTCAAGGTATAAGTTTATTTTTTTACTGTCAAAGTATTAGAGCAGGAAATTGTGTGTGTATATATATATATATATATATATATATATATATATTCCTCATTTAGTTATGGTGCCAGTTTCTTCTTGGTGCCAATGAAACATAAATTTTCAGGTTATTTTTTTTGTTGCAATTCTTTTGGTTGTAAATTGTGCCATTTTTTGCATCTCATTTATTTGTCAAGGTATAAGTTTATTTTTTTACTGTCAAAGTATTAGAGCAGGAAATTGGAATATAACAAGTTTAATTCAGTTTTTTTTTTGTAGACTCTAGTCCATTGTGCTCAGAGTTCATTTTTTTGTTGGTTAATACCCCGCCAAAGAGTTTGGTCTACAGATCTGAACCTGTAAATTAAAAATATTTTTTTAGTTCAGACTTTGAATTTGGATTCCATTCCTATAAAAAAAGATCTGACCTGGCCCTTGGCACTCTACTTCAGTTGCGTACGGCCATTTTTTTCCTAGAACTTTTCCATGGATGAATAATTAGCTTATATGAAGTATAATTCTGGGTTCATCTCCGGTATTTCATATTCATGGTTCCCCCCTGGAACTTGACATAGGACACTATATTTAAAAGAGAGTATATGTCCTTCCGCTTCTTGGTTTTGTTCTTTTATCATGCTTATGATTCAGCAGTGACTAAGTCAAACCTGACCTCTTGCCATTGTTTGCTATCAAGTTAAACTTGACATTATTTGCTGAAAAGTTAAACTTGCTTTATCATCTCTATTTGGTTTTGATAATTTCATAATTGTTCTCAGACTCTATCTGGTTTTTGCCTCTTTTCTGCCTACATGATGCAGGATCTTATCCCCACACAGTGACGCTCAGATTTGCAAGGATAGTACTGATTCTGTTGACAAATACTCTTCCTGTTCGGATGAAAGTAACGATAGAGAAGCTTGCAGGAAAACTAAATCTAGTGTTGACTGTGAGAAATATGAGGACAAAGATCTTTTCAAAACGGATGCCTGCACATCAGGAGTTGGGTCTGATTCTGGTGATCAAATCCCACATCATTCCACTTCCAGTAATCTTCCTAGCCGCTCTGAAGAATCCAAGGATGTCCACGATGTGGGGAAAGACACTAGGCTCACCAAAAAGACATCCGTTAAGGAATTACAAGACTTCATCGACCCTGACTATTATCTTTCAAATGATTCACTAAGTAATGCCACAGAATCTGACCAAGAAGATATCAAAGATGAGGCTCGTGAACGAGACCTTTCTTCTGGAGAATATAATCATTTCAGCGGAACAAGATTTAGAAGTGTTACAGCATTAAATGTTTCTAAAGATGATGAGCAGACAGCAGGTCTTGTTCACAGGAAGCGTCAGAATGATATGGATTTGGGGAATGTCAGGTGCAAGACAAGAAAACAGAAGTCTAGTTATGATGCTGATGATCTTAAGGAACATTTACATTCTTATGGAGAAACTAAAGTATCACTAAGTTACAAGAGCAGAAGACATGCTGTAAAGAATGGTAGTCATAAATCTTTCACTAAAGATTCTCAGAAGTGTGATTTGGTTACCCATTCTGGTAGAAATTGGGATGAAGAAGATTGTTTGGTACAAGGAGGTTGTTTTCGTGAAAGGCATAATGAAGATCAACGTAGAAGATGCTCACTCCGTGCGTATCCAGACCGACCACTTATTGAAAATAAAGTCCTTTTTAAGGAGAATAATTCATGTTCACGTATGACAAAAGAAAGAGTCGATGAACACTGGACTAGTATGGAGTATGGATATGATGACCTTATACATGATCATAGATACAGAAAACATTATGTGCAGGACCCACATGGAAGACATATAGATTTCCATGATGTGGAGGAGGAAAAGTTTGATCGGCATTTTTACTCTACAGATGGAGAAATAAGAAGCCCTGAAAGAAGTAGATATTATAGAAGGTTAAATTTTGAGAAAAACAGGTCAAGTAAATATATCCAGAATGATGCAGAGCATCATCTAATTGATCATAGATACAAAGAACCATTTAATACTGGTGAAAGAGATTGGCGTGATGCTTCGTCATCACGAGAGCATTCATGTGTCTCATGGAGGCCATCTGGTAGATATGTGAATCACAGGAGTCATATCAGAGACTGGCAATTTAAGAACAAAACAAACGGGCATGCGGGTATCATGGATCTGCATCATTTATCCTATGAAGATAACCTAGAACCTTATGAAGATAACCTAGAATTGAACATGGAGGAATACAAATCTGAAGAAGATGTATACTATGAAAACATTGTTTCTAGTGTTCAGTTGAGAAGATCCAATCGACTCCCAAAGTCCAATCTTCATGCTGATGATGATGATTCAAAGTTAAAGCACTTTGAACAACGCAGTCTCCCTGCAGGGGGAAGATTTCTGTTGGAGAGGAGTTTACAACATGATAATTTTCAAGTTAGGAAGACCTCTTTGTATGGTCGGAGATTGCTTGGTGACCGCCAGTTGAACAATGCTAGAAAAAGAAGAGTAGAGGAAACATCTACTTCTGACATTAGGGAGCATGTTAGTATTCTCCCACATGTGGCCAGGAATGAGCTGGAAGCTGTAGGGTGCAGGAAGGCAGTTAACAAACATTTGAATGGTTTTAAAGGAAAGGTAATTTTGGGGAAACCATGTCTAATATCTTGTACCCCCTGTCCTTGTATAGTGTTAATTAAATCTGCTCCTTTTACATGGCGGGCAATTTTTTTCATTTTGTTCTCCTGCCTGGAAAGGAAAGCATTACATGCCTTCAAGTTGACTTCATATTACAAAAATCTAGTATTTAATACATTCAAACTTCATTTTTTAGAGTTGGTATCTAAAGGTGCTAGCAATTTGAGGGAATTGTTGCATTCATAGTTCTCTGTAGGAAGAAGTAAAAGGTGGCAGGAAGAAGTAAAGGGTGGCAGAGAGAGTAGTTTCTCCTTATCAGTTGCTTTCTGGCTTTATGGAAGTTTGTCTGGCTGACTCTGAAATAAATGTGGTCTTCACTAGAGTTGTATTAAAATCATAAAACATCATTCTCAAATAGAAATAAATAAAATAGAAATAAAGTCATAAAATTTCATTCAAAATCCAAATTTCTATTTTTCTTCTTCAGTCTCTTTTAACCTATTGGTCTTATTTATCCAATAATCTTGTATTTTTGAGCAAATTTTGTAAATTCCTTTACCAAACATGAACTACTTCTATATATAATTCAAAACTTATTTTGGTTTTTTATTTACAGTTTGAGCATGTAGATGAGTTGCTTTCCTATGCAAACTTTATAAAACAATTATTTTATCTTTTGTATTTTTGGTTTACTCTTGACCTTCCTGTTTACACGAAATTTTTGCCCCCTTATGAAGGCTGTATTTTGGTAGTTATTCCTTGTTTTCTCCTAGTAGATATTTGTATTTCCCATACAAGTCTCATGTTTGGTGATATAGTTACTTGTGAAGTCTTCGAACGATGTCAAAACAAAAGGTTCACCCTTTTCTGATCATTTTTATTTGAGCTATTATTTATATATCAATTTCATATGGCCATTATCATTGTATCAATTTCCTATTGTTTCTTTTTTACATTGATATATGTGTTGAATGCTTTATGCACCTTTTTTCTGCGTAAGATTTATTTTCCGATTTATTGAACTCTTGGTTTTACTGCATAGCATCCTTACTCCACTGTGAGTTGCATCCTATGATACTTCTGCTTTAATTTTTTTGGTCCTCTTTTATCCTAGGCTTCAAGTCGGCATTGACTATTGTGAACTGTTAAACATATTTCGTGATTATACCTTCTAATGTGATGAATTTATCAGGAATGAATGCACACGCACACACTCAGACATGTACTTGTCATTGTTCCCGGGTGTCATTACAATATTATTTCACGGTCATTGTTATCTCCATATTTTATAGGCATAGAAACATGCTAAACAGCCTGCAGCATAGGAGTATCTCAATAAATATGAGCACATCCTCTTCCCGCTCTTTTCTGCACCTGGAAATCTACAAGGTTACCCCCCCCCCCAAGAATGATACATATAACATATGTTATGTGGGTACTTCTTGAATATACACATATGTTTTTTCAAGCATATACTAAATTATATATCACATGTTTTTAATTTAAAACATTCCTCACACACTTCTTGGGTGTATATTATACACTTCACATTTACTTCTAATATATTGATCTCATGTAAATGAAAAAACAATATTGATCTTATGGAAAATATTAATTTTAATACATATAAATATACTTAACATACATATTTATAGCAGTGTCCCCTTACAGTACCTTTTACAAATTTGCAGTGCCCGTGCCCGTACCCGTACCCGTACCAGTACCCGTGCCCATATCGGTACCCCTACCCATGCTATCCGTACCCCTATCCATGCTACTTAGCATATAACTAAAAGATGGTGTTTATAGGGGAAAAAATGATTTCTATGCGTCTTCATCTTCTTGATAATAATAAAAAAAATCCAGATCTGCTTAGTACTTGTTTGTGATCTATGAACTTTATCCTTACACAGCTCAATTTTTTTTTCAAAAACCTCCTGCGAGAAGGTAATCTCGTTTTCTTGATTCTAGTAGATTACTGAATATTTCCGTCTAATCTGTATTGTATCCAAAATGTTGTTATTTCAGTCTTTCTTGACATGACTTCTTCTGTGGACATGTTGATATTTTTTTACTGGTTTTCTTTAAGCTACTTGCTTAATTCCTTGATACCCTGCTATGTCTGGTCTCACACTTGCAGTTCAGCAGTGCGGGAAGTCTTTTCCTTCTAAGGTTGTGTGAAAAGTATATCACTCTCTTTTTTCTCAATTTGAAGTTTTATGCCAACTTTTAAGCTACATGTTACACATATTTGCTTCAATATATATTTCGCATGATGCTAATGGAGTCACAAAATTTATAGATGTTTACCCATCTTAAACTTTTATCATCTGTGCAATGGGGAATTTATCCTCTCTGAGTAGCCTTCTTTGTGATCGTTTTCTTTCGGCTTTGTCGCAAACATATAGCTTTAAAGGGGGAAAACTCAGTAATTGGTTAAGCTACTTGTCTTCTTTGATCACTAACTTAAGAATTTCTTTTATTTTAGGGCGCTGAGATTGTAAATTGTGAGTATTAGCCTTTTTCTAGCAGATCAAATTGTTTGCAAGTATGCCAATATAACACATATTGCGGGCTTGTTCTTTATGAAAAGTCACATAGTAATTGTCTAGTTTGCTGATAGCCGCTGAGGTTTTCTACTCACTAATAACGGCTTCGTATCCATTCAGTTATTGGAGTGCACATGGTAGATTCTCCTTTCTAAAATTTATTGTAAGAAATGTGAGTTTTGCCTCATACTTTCCTCGCTATATAATGACAGCTATAGGTTGTTGCTCAGCCTGTATACATGATCTGCTTATATGTTGTTGATGTTTCTTTATTACTACTGTTTGTTTGAACTCTGCTTTCACTGCCTATAAAGTTCTTCATTATTCAATAATAAGATGTGCCCTACAAAAATGTTAACTATGATCAGTCTTGTGTATGCTATTTGAGCCCGATGCTATGAGTATGGTGATTTTGGAATTAGTATTTTCTTTTAAAATCTAGCAGGTAGAAGGACAGTCTAGTTTATTATATAGTTTTGTTATAGGTAGAGTCAGTCTAGGATGATTGCTTGAATTGATTAGGAGATCATTTTGGTTGATGGAGGGAAAGTGTTGAGTATATATCTTATAGCTTATCTAACTTTTTTTTTTTTTTTTTTTTTGGGGGGGGGGGGGT